AAAGTGCTTGGCCACACATCAATTTTCTTTAAGAGCCAATTTACCATCATGCCATGTCGCACACAAAAATTTAGGGTGCATTTTCCTCAAAACCCCTTAGAAAACGGTGATATTTAGGGAGTCCCATGCATGTGATGTGTGGTCAGTTAGCTTTATGGAATTTTAATCAACTATAAAAATATAATTTTTTGCATTAAAAAAAACAAAACAACTTAAAATAAAACACAAATATACCAATGTGAATAAAAATTACATGTAATTTTTAGGTTTGTTTTTTTTACAAATACAAATGAACAATAATTATAATTTTAAATTTTATTATAATATTATTTAATATGGTATGCATATGATAGGAATTTACGTTTGTTTTATAATTATGTGCGTAGGATCTTTTAGTTATTATTACAGACAATTTATTTGATTATTTTTTTTGTGCTTTTGTTTGCTATACAATTATTTAAGCCGTAGATTTGAAATTAATCCATAATTATAAATAAAAAACAAAAAAAAAAATACAATATTTTACAAAACAGCAGGAAAATAAAACAACATACGATAATAACAAATGCAAACAATATAGCCAATCTTGTAAAGGGAAATAAAATAACACGGAGGGAATGTGTTGAATATAATGCTTATATTGCCACAAATGTTCAGTTTCTTAAAATGCCTTGGCCACGTTATTGATTAGTTTCTTTAAATTCATATTTTTTTTACATTATCCACGAAAAAATGCTAAAAAATATAAAATATAGAAACCAACTAGATGTGTTGCCAGCCACCCTTAAGAAAATGATGGCAATCATATGAACATAGCATAAGACAAAGACAACTAGTCTCCCGACTAGTTTCCACTTTCATCAAACAGTTGTTTTTAAAGGTATGAGTTAGTGTGAGAGAGAGAGGGAGAGGGATAGTAGGTATGTTTCTCTCTTCTTCTTTCCGTTATAGAATACTCTATGATAGTAAATGCAATAGTAGTGTTGTAGAGAGTAACAAGTGTTGCAGTGAGTGAGTGATAAATAGGTGAGAATACAATGCATGTGCCATGTGGGTTCACAGGGTGTGATAGAGCATACAGTGTTGGAAATGAGGTAAATTAGTAAAATGTAAAAAATGCTTTAGGGGGGTTCAGTAGTGTTAATTTGTATACTAATCTTGGTTATGAATTGATTTATTGAAGGATTTTTGACTATTAAAAAGGTTTTGTTTCCTTTTTTGATTAAAAGATAATATGTGAAGCCTTAAAGATCTCGCTTAAAGCTCGTAGCATAATAGCATGAAGGGCTCACTCCAGAAAACTTTTGAAAATGCTACGACGTTTCAATAGTTTTTAATTTTTTGACTCCTTTTAAACTTTAAAAAAAAGTTTAAATAGTCAAATTCTTAAAAACACCAAAAAATATTATTCAGCCGATGAATATCATCATGTGATATCATAGAGCACTTCTTCTAAATACTACATTAAATAATTAAAAAATGATAAAAATTCTTTTCAGATCCAGATATTTTATAAAAATCCAGTTCTATCTTATAGTACGTTTACGTTGTAGAGGATTTAGAAAACCCAGTCGGTTTAAATTGTCAATTCCATTGAATATACCTCAAATAAATCTTGATAAACAAGGTTAACCCTGAAAAAACTTCTAACGTAAACATGCTTTTACAATATCAAAACGATACACCGACTAAGGTATAAAACCCGAAAATCATTACAAAAAAAATACAGAAACTCTATATTTGAGAATTATTTTAATTCTGCCGAGATTTTCCAAGCAATTAAGATAAAATTTGGCAGCATCTTAAAGATTAGCTTTCGATCTTCATTACGCAAAAATTATTGAAACTTTTAATTTTAGGTTATTTTACTTGCTTCCGAATATCTCGGGCACTATTCAAGCGACATCAAACAAAACTTGGCAGCATCTTAAGGTGTAAACTTTTTTCTTTAAAAACACTTTATTTTATAAAGATACCTCAGCTACTTTCCATGTTATGACCTCTAAAAGGAGGTTATGGAAAAATTATTGAATCTTCCCAATTGAGATAATCCTTTCATTTTTCAAATATCTCAGTTATTTCGTTGGTGACCTTTACAAACCGATATAATAGTTTATACATCTCATTTCCTACTTTCAAAATCAAGTTATTTCATAAAAATATACCGATTATTAAAAAAGTTATACCCAATTGAAAGAAACGCGCAAAACATACCAAAAATGTAAAGAAATAAAGATGTTGCCTAATTTTTCTGATATCTCCGGCCTTTTGTTAAACAACACCTAAGAAACTTATAGGAAATTTAAAGATGACATTTTCTTCCTTCCAAATTCTTTTATTTCATGAAAATACACCGCTTGCAACCAAAGTTATGGCCTCCAGAAAATGATTACGGAAAATTTCTTAAGTCTTAAAAATATTAAGTATCCGCTTTCCTCTTTGGATGTTTCCGAAATTTTGTGAGGGACTTTAGTAAAATTTGTTATAAATTCAAAGATAACATGATTTTCTTCCTAAATCAAGTTATTTCATTAAAATATACCAGTTATTGAGAAAGTTATGGCCTCTAGAAGGAGACAACACAAAACGATTTGAATACCACATAATTTGAGTAGCTGCCTAATTTCCCCGATATATCCGATATTTTCCCAGTAACGTCTGCAATGTATGATGGGAATTTAAAGCTTATAATATCTTCTTTCCAAATCAGGTTATTTCATGGAAATATGCCAGCTAATAAAAAAGTTATAGCCAACAGAAAAGGACGCGAAAAACATACCAAATTGAGGAAAATTAAGTAATCTGCTTAATTTTTCCAAAACCTTCATCATTTTCTTAGCAAAACCTAGGAAACTTTTTAGTAATTGAAAGTCGACATATTTTTCTTTCCAAATCAAGTTGCTCCATGAAAATATTCCGCTTACAATGAAAGTTTTGGCCTCTAGAAAGTGATTACGAACAATTTCTTAAGTCTTTAAAATATTAAGTAGTCGCTTTCTTCTTCGAATATTTTCGAATTTTTGTGAGTGACTTCAGTAAAATTTGTTATGAATTCAAAGATAGCATGTTTTTCTTTCCACGCAAGTTATTTCATTAGAATATATCAGTTATGAAGAAAGTTATGACCTTCAGAAGAAGATAGCACAAAAACTACTTAAATACTACGACTTTGAGTAGCTGCCTCATTTTCTCGATATATCCGATATTTTGACAGCGACATCTGTAATATTTCACATCAGTTTAAAGCTCTCATTATCTTCTTTCCAATTCTGGCTATTTCATTAAAATACATCAGTTATTGAGAAAGTTATGACCTTCAGAAGAAGGCAACACAAAAACTATTTGAATACCACGAATTTGAGTAGCTGTTAATTTTTCCGACATATCCGATATTTTCCCAGCGACATCTGCAATAGTTCATATTAATTTAAAGCTCACAATATCTTCTTTCCAATTCAAGTTATTTCTTATATATACACTGGCTAATAAAAAAAGTTATGCTCAATAGAAATAGACCCTCAAAAAATACCAAAAAGTTAAAAAACTGATGAAGTTGGCTTTTTTCCCGATATGTCCGGATTTTAGTTAGTAAACCCTAGGAAACCTTTACAAGGTTTCAAGTTAACATATTCTTCTTTCTAAATCCTTTTATTTCATGAAAATAACCCGGCTAATAAAAAAGTTACGCCCAATAGAAGTAGACGCGCAAAAAATACCAAATAGTTAAAAAAACTGAAGAAGTTGCCTATTTTTCCGATATCTCCAGACTTTTGTTAGCAAACCCTAGGAAACCTTTACAAGGTGTAAAGTTAACATATTCTTCTTTCCAAATCAAGTTATTTTATAAATATATATCGGCTAATAAAAAAGTTCTGTCGAATTATATAATATACATTTAAGAATCGTATTTTCTATTATCTAACTCAAGTTAGATCATGTCAAATGTCAAATAAAAAATTTTATAAAGGAAATATTTTTCTTTTCATATTTTCATAGAACACGAATCCAGCCCCTGGATCATTTCATATTTTCCAGGGGCTGCATTCCTGTTCTATGAAAATGTGAAATGAAAAATATTACCTTTACAAAATTTTTAATTTGCCATTTCTTTGATTTTACTAAAAGTTTTCATTTTTTAGACTTTTTTGTAACTGTCTCTAAAAAATTCGAATGTCATAATAAAAAAATAAGAGATTGTATACATTTGGTTAATTTGAGGTGTGCCCAGACCCCTTGTTATCACATGATTTTCCAATCACACCGTGTGAGCATGCCTTATGACAGATGCCGTTAATTTGTTCAAGTTGGCAATTCCCTTAAGTGGCCTGGCCACAGGTCAACGTAAGGGAAGTTATTCATTAAAATCGTGATTTTTTTAGACTTTTTTGTAATTGTCTCTCAAAAATTCGAATGTCATAATAAAACATAAGATATTGTATACATTTGGTTAATTTGAGGTGTGCCCAGACCCCTTTTATTACATGGTCTTCCAATCACACCATGTGAGCATGCCTTATGACAGATGCCGTTAATTTGTTCAAGTTGGCAATTCCCTTAAGTGGCCTGGCCATAGATCAACTTAAGGGAAGTTATTCATTAAAACCGAGATTTTTTAGACTTTTTCTCAAAAATTCGAATGTCATAATAAAACATAATCAAGTTTATAATAGAAAAAATGAAGAATTACATAGGTATGAGTGAGAGTGATAGATTCCGTGTAGTTTATGGTTTTGTGCAAATGCCTTTTGCGGGTGTATGTGTGAGGGAATGTGTACATATATAGGTGTGTGTGTGTGTGTGTTTTATCTTAAACAACAACAATTAAAACGTAAACGTTTGATTTTTTTCTTTTTTGTGTAAATACAGAAAAAAAAAACCAAAACAAATAGATAAGTAAAGACTAAAACCATGTTTGGAGTCCAAATTAGAAAAAAAAAATAAAACGAACAGACTCAAAATTTAATGTCTAAAAAAGTATGGACTATAAAAACTGCTTATACCATCATAGTTGGTCTCAATCGGCGACAAGGTAAAGTCCAAACGTTGAGCCACATTTTTGTCGTTCGTTACATGAATCTGTTGCGGTGCACTGGCCTGGTAGCTGCAATGAGATCAAAACAAAAAGAAACGCAGACAAGTTTCCCCGCACACAAAACGAAAGGAGAAACAAGTTTAATTCATTCGATTAGTATTCATGGTTTTTGTTTCGCAAAATAATCGATACATATAAGGAAATTATCACAACAACCACTACCACCACCACCATCACAAATCTTGGATATCTTACCCGAAAGCCAATGCTTGGATGTTATAGATTCCTGGTGTCAACAGACGCCAGTATTCGCCGCGCCGTGTCGTACGTATGGGCTTCTCCTCCAAACCGGAAACCACAATTGTTGCATCATGTATGGGATAACCGTTGACATCTTTAACCACACCTTTCACTCCGATATGGGCCAATTTGAGGAGTTGCAACAGACTTTGTTTGTTGCGTTGCCATTCGCCGGGCAACGTCTTGGCGGGTGGATATTTGCAGCAGGACAGCTCAATGGTTAGTTCGAAACAATTGCTAAAGGCATAATTGAAATCTTGCATGCCACCGTTCAACTCATACCAATGGGCACCATTGGTAACGCCATCCGTAAAAGTGTCATTGCAATTGTTACCCTTGCGCATAATCGGATGATTGTTGGCATAGGTGTGGGCCATTAGCTTAAAGACCCGGTCGTCGGGGGTCAAACTATCTTCGCAGCATTCGTGATGGGCCCTGCAAGGAAGAGTGAAGGAAAGAAAAATGAAATTATTTTGCCTTTAACAATGAGTAATCGGTTCTAATTCAAAACTGTAACCGGTTCCAAAAGGGACGATAATGAGCTAACAAAAACCTTATTCTAATTCGAATTTTATTCTTTAGTTTAATATATATTAAAATTGACATATTTGCCAAAAACCGGTTCCATTGAACCGGTAATCGTTTGTAATTTACCGGTTTTAGAAGCAAAATAGTGGGGTAGAAAGTAACCTAGAATCATAAACTAAGTTAAAAATCCATTAAACCTCTTATAATAACCTTTAATCGGTTCAATGGAACCGATTACTTAATTTTTAACTCGAGTAACCGGTAACAAAATTACTAAAAACTTCATAAAAATGTCCAAGAACTTTTTTCAGCTGTTGATATACACCGCACTGCCATTTTATGACGATAATCAGTAGCATGAAACCGATTACTAAGTTTTTAACTCAAGTAACCGGTACCAAAATTGCCAATATACGATTCTAAAAGAACCGTAGTTGTTGGGTATTTGCTTTCGGGTACCCATGACTTTTAAAGTAGTCGATGTTATATCCTGAAATTACTCGAGGATGAAAGAAAAACAGTTGGTCTTTAAATTTATATACCCTATAACCATGTATCTAAAGAAAAATCGGAGATATTGCAATGAATTTAAGAATCCCAAAATATTTCTATTTTTAGAAAACTACGAGTAACCATATTGTAGACAGCATAACTTCCTGAGTAATCGGCATATACACATGAAATAAATTGATATTGAACGAGTAATATCTGGGCTTTAAACGTGGTTACATATTTCCAATATATCTGGGTAAATTCCTGAGTTATGGCAAAAGGTTTAAAAATCAAAAAATTTTCTATGTTTACAAAATTTTGAGTAACCATGTTCTCGATAGCGTAACTTCCTGAGTAATCGGTATACAAACATGAAATAAATTGATATTAAACGAGTAATATCTGGGCTTTAAATGCGGTTACATATTTCCAATATATCTGGGTAAATTCCTCAGTTATGGTAAAAAGCGTAAAAATTCAAAATTTGTCAATCTTTAAAAATTTTTGAGTAACCATGTTCTCTATAGCATAACTTCCTGAGTAATCGGTATATACTCAAGAAATACATTGATTTTGAAGAGCAGTATCTGGCCTTTAAATTGATATGCATAACTCCAGTATATCTGAACAAATTCCTGAGTTATAGTAAAAAGTTCACATTCTCTCACAATTTCCCAATGTTGAAATTTCTTGCGCAACACCCTTTCTGAGGTCATAACTTCTATAGTAATCGGTATTTTTCAGAAAGTAACCCGATTTTGAAGGATTAAAATGTAATCTTAAAAGTTTCTCATGTTTTGTATTTATATCTTATTCAATACTAAAAACTTGTCCAAAAGAAAAACAATACCCAATATTTTCCAGTTTTAAATATTTTGTAAGTGATTGTTTTCTGAGGTCCCTAACTTCGGAAATAATCATTGTATATTCATAAAGTTTCTCGATTCTGAATAAGGACATCTTAACTTAAAATAAATGTTAACTTTTGGCGACAATTCCTGTCATATGCTGAAAATCGTCTAAGAAAGATAAAATTGTGTATTTTGGCACTTGAAGAAATTCTTCTGCACTCATTTTCTGTCGTCCATATCTTTTTAGGTATTCGGTCTATCGACATGAAATAAATGCTTGGTCCCAAGTTATATCTTGCCCTTATCGATTTTGATATTAACTATATTAATACCTCTCACATTATGTGTATTTTTCCTAAAAAAGAAATTGACAACCCATTTTCCTAACTTTTCATAATTTTGAAATGTAGGATGTTGAATTGCCAATTTATCTTCCATGTTATCGTTTTTATTAATCGATCTTTTTAAATTTAGATAATAATAATCATGTTCATGCCTACTTACAATGAATTGTCGTATGGATAGCTGGCTACCACAGCACCGCCATGGAAATTGGCCGACAAAACAAATGGTTTATTCAATACCCATTCAATGATGGCTGCAGTTTCCGGTTGGCGATTCAGCGATTTTTGTTGTATTTGTTGTTGGGAATCCAAGCGATCAGGAAAATCACGATTTAAATCAACACCAGCGGCATTGGTGCGACCAATATAATGGGGCAAAGATTCACAATTACCTTCCTGGAAAGACAAAACAGACAAAGGATATTAATAATCATGAAAGAGAATTTAGGAGGAAATTGAAATTGTTAACTAAATTTTATTAATTGTTCCGGGGAATTTTTAAAATCCCCCAAAATAGTTGAAGCGTATAAAAATTTTTGCATTGTCATTTAAACAAATTAGCACTTTAAAGTTCAGAGTACGTACTCCAATATTGCTTGTCAATTTTTTTTTCTTCAAAATTAAGAGCAAGGCTTCAGCTACAAACAATTAGCAACGATATTAAATTTTTATAAAAAACAAAAACATCAACAACAACAATACAATCTAAACAATCAGAATTGTGATGAAGAACAAACTCAATTATTGTTTTGGCGTTTTTTTTTTTTGTTAAAAGATTATTTGTTAAACAGAAAACTTGTCTCGGCATTACATGCCAGTGAAATCTTAAAAGCCGCCAATGCTAAAAACCAGCAGAGGCTCCCTCTTGAAACGACCTTCATTTGAAATTATGGTCACGATTTGTGTTATTGTCACATTTTCTTTGTTGTTTATTAATTTATGATGGGAATTTTGTAGGTAAATTGGAAATTTGACACAGTTTTTGTATTCGAAACCGTTAAGGTTAAACTATTTAGCACGTTTGATTGAGATTCGACCATAGAAATGGGGATTCAATGATCAGGGTTTAAATGAACCAAAGTGCTTATGAACATGGTTATACCTATGTTATTTGGTAAGTTATATCAACAAATTTACACAAATTAAAAGAGTTCTTGTATGGCTTATTAAAGGCCAAAATAAGTTAGAAGATTGAGTAAGCTCGAGGCTTATAGAAAAAGATATAGGAACAACTACTCATCAAAAATACTCGCGACATATTTTGCACTATTTGTAAATTTAGGACTATATCGCGGACATTGAGTAGGTTATATCAACAAATTTGCACTCATTAAAAGAGTTCTGGTTAATTTTTTTTCAAAATTAAGAGGTTTCAAAGCGATGTACAGACTACATCCAACGCTACGATTCATTGAGCATCATTACTCAAAATTTAATAAATTGCAATACCAGCAATCTTTTGACGATATATCTGGTGCACGGACATTAGTATTAACAAATTTGAAATATGTTTAACATAAGTCATTCCTTTTTCAAAATCACACCTTTTTAGAGAAATCTACCGAACACCAAAAAAGTTATGGCTCCAACAAATTGCTTGCATAAAAATTCTACAAAAATTACAAATTTGGGTACTTAGAAACTGTTGGTTATGACTTCAGTATTTTATCAGTGATATCGGTATATCGAGGTATCAATTTGAAGCTAGGACTGTCTTCTATCAAAATTATGTTATGTTGTGGTAGTTTATAAGTTTTACCGATATCTCCGGAATATTGTCAGCTACATAATAATTTTTACCATTAATTTAAAAGGTCAAACATTACTCTTTCACAAATATCTCATTTCATCCAAATACGCCAACTAGTTTAGAAATTATGCCCTAATGGATTTGATAACGAAATAAATGTTAAACATTTAAAAACTTGAGCACCTGTCTACTTTTTGTGATATCTCTGGTATTTTAAGAGCTACATTTTTAGAATCTTCTACACTTTGTAGGGTAGGGATTGTACTTTTAATATCCTGTAATTTCATAAAGTACCTAAAACAAATTTGAAGGTTATGATCCCAAGAAAATGTTTACGAAAAAATCAATAAAGTTGTAAAATTTGGGTACTTTCGAATTTTCGTGATATCTCTGGTATGTTAACAGTTATATAAAGAAAAATAGGCGGCGTTGGTACAATAAAATGCTCCGCTTTAAAAATCAAGAAACTTTATTTCAATATATCGACTGCTTGAAAAGTTATGGCCTTATGAATGTGTATACGGAAAAATGTTACACTAACCAAAAAGTCGGACGCTTGCACACTTTTGAAAATATCTCTGGTATTTTATAAGCCACATCAATATTAATTACAATAATTTGAAGGTAGGAAGATTTTTCGTCTGTAATTAATTTATTTGGGTAGGTTATCATGTCAATTTCCAAAGTTATGGGCATAGGAATAGATTACGAAAGAGAATAAGAATTATTTAAAAATTTCGGACCCTGTGTTGTCTTGGCGATATCTCTGCCATTTGGGCAGCTACATCGACAATTTTTACTTTCATTTAAACTGCGAAGGTTCTTCTTTTGAATTCGAACTAGTTTTTCTGTAGTCCATATGGCATTTAGAAAGTTATAGCCCAAAAAAGAAACTGCGCAAAAAATTAAAGAATTTTCCAAAGTTCTGAAACTTGCATATTTTCTGCGATATTCCTCGTATTTGCGTAGCTACATCGACCTAACTTTCTTTAGGTTAAAGATGAGACAATCTACTTTGAAGGAGAATGGTATTTAATAATATTCCATAAAGTATTTGCGAAGTTATTGTCCCCAGAACGTCATTTTAAAATATTGAGAAAATTTGGACACTTTAGTATTTCCTATCTCATTTTTGGTATTTGATGAAATATGTGGGTGTAATTCATTTTTATTTAAAGATTAAGAAACCTTTTTACAAGCTCCGAAAAATTTGTTTAGACATGCAGTTTACTTTAGAAGTTACGCTCCGAAGAACTTGCCTACTGGGGAATATTGTTAAATGCCCAAGTTGGGAGATTTTTGTGCTCTCGTCGATATCTTTGGAATTTTTTCGGCTAGGCCTACAAAATTCAGTTTTAAATACAATACGGGTTATTTTCTTTCAATGAAATCCAAATTTTTTGGAAATTAAATAGGAACTTTACAAGTCATGCCTCCTTGAAAGAGGTTACTTAAAACTCCTTACAAAACGCACAAATTTAGGACTCCAAGTTTTGGGCGATATTTTGGTCATCCAATCGGGGATTTTTCCATCAATTGTCTTAGGTTAAATAGTAATAGGATATACTTTTTAGTTTCCATAATTATCTGATTGTCGGAAAGCTAAAATTAGTTCCTAGTTACATTCGCCAATAAATCCTCTTACTCAAAATGAGAAAAACAAATAGTCATAACCCTGACAAGCAAATAACTTGTAATACGCCTAATAGCCATCAATGTTATTCGAATTTACAATGGATATTAAAATGAATAGCTTAAAATCCCATTCATTGTTAATTTAATTCCCATAACGAAATAAAAAAGTAGGCAATAACAAAAAAAAATAAAATCTCAAATCAAAACTTAAGACCTGTAATAATCCACAAGACATTGGATTAACATAACGCACAGTAGCCAAATAAAATTTGAATATATAATTTTCAGATTTGAATTTTAAGCCTTATTTATGTTTATTTTTGTTTTTGGAAAGAAAATTGACACACACCCAATATGCATAAATGTGTCAACATAGTCTGTTTTGGTTTGTTGACATTTTTTGATTATTCTTGTTAATTTTTTTGGGGAGATAATTAAAACATGTTACCCAACTGACACTTCAAAAACTCCCACTCACTGCTTGTCGCATGACTTGTTATTAAATTATGCATAATTAGGGATTATTTGTTTGACAGCCAATGCGTTTCAGAAGTAAATAAGGGGGTTCACACGTCACAGCATACCAAAACGAAGTCGGTTCACAAAAGTGAATATGCATTGATCAAGCAGACTGGCCACAAGGCGGTAACTTCCTTTTAGCAGGCATGCGTTTCACAAGTAAGCAAGGGGGTTCACACACCCCACCATACCAAAACTAAGCCAGTTCACACAAGTGAATATGCATTGATCAAGCCGACTGGCCAAATCTTCATTCATTTCAAAGTTATTCCCTTTAGAATGTTCTTAGAAAACAAGTCTCCCAAAGTTGAATATTACGGAGTATGTGTTGTTCGTATTTTGGAGATAACTTTGTTATTTGTTTGGCTATATCTTTATATTTTGTATTTATTTGTTGCTTAGACATCCTTCTTTCGAAATCAGTTGACTTAGTTAAAATACAAAGCTATTTTAAAAATATATGGCCTCTGAAAATCAGAAACGCAAAAAATTTAAAAAGAGAAAACATTTTTTCTCTTGCAGATTTTTGGCGATATCTCTGTTATTTGTTCGGATACTTATACATATTTTATATCTAGCTAATGCTTATACCTTCTGCTTTCAAAAGCAAAGTTATTTTATTACAACATCTCAATTGCTATTAAAGTTATGGCCCCTAGGACATGCTTACGGAAAAAATCTGCCAAATTTAGAAATTTCGACAAGTGCGTCGTTTCGGCTATATCTTGGGTTGTTCTTTGGTTATCTAAATATATCTTACATCAGTGTAAAGGTATGACACCTGTCTTTCAGAATCCGTTAATATGACATCGGTACATAGTCTTCTTGAAAAGTTATGGTCTCGATAAAACGATAACGCAAAAAAAAATTCCAACTTCAAAATTTTTTCATTTGTCGATTTTTGCCGATAGCCGTGGTATTTCTTCCGGTACATCAATAAAATATACATTCAATTAAAGCTTAAATCCTCTGCTTCTAAAATTGAAACAAATTTTATGGCACAAACTTTATTGATTTTAAAGTTATGGCCTCTAGAATACGCTTACGAAAAAAATCTGCCAAATTTACAAATTTCGACAGACTTGATGTTTTGGCTATAACTTAAGTATTTGTTAGATTATATTAACATATCTTACATCAGTGTAAAGCTATGACACTCTTCTTTCGAAATCTGTAAACATGGAACCGTTACATAGTCTTCTTAAAAAGTTATGGTCTCAATAAAACGATAACGCAAAAAAATTGCAAATTTCAAAATTTTGTCATTTGTCCATTTTTGCCGCTGGCTGTGGTATTTATTCCGGTACATTAATATAATAAACATTATATTAAAGCTTAAATCCTCTGCTTTCAAAATTGAAACAAATTTTATGGCGAAAAATCTATAGATTTCAAAGTTATGGCCTCTAGAATGCGCTTACGGAAAGAATCTACCAAATTTAGAAATTTCGACAGATTTGATGTTTCGGATATGCCTTAGATATTTGTTAGA